CTTATAAAACTAGTGCTCAATTCATTATCCAACTTCTCGCCAAAAGCTGCGGTAATTTGGCAGATGAAGTACCAGAGCAGAGTGCTAATGTTTAATCTATATGCAAGCATGATTACATTCATATAAGACCACAAAGCATAATATGGGACTTTCAAAGCATTTGTTATTTATAAGCAAAGTACATCTTATGTTGCTAAAGCATATAATCTTATATTTTAGCATATTCGAGGTAATGTTATGTGATATTATTTGCCGTCTCGGCAGACAAAATGAATCGAATATTGCAAAACAAATACTGAAATCGAAATCCCTAGACTTGTAGATTCAAAATGAAAGCAAAATTACAGAGAAATTGGAATTCAGTATTATCCTAACATGTTGATTAGAAAATCAATTATTTTCGGTAATTTTCAAAATTATTTCACTTATGAAGATTTATCTATTTATTTTTAATTAATAGGTTATTTTAAGTTCAATTGCTTTTCTATGACTCTCTTTTCACGCACGCTTTTCATGCCAGAGTGTTATTGAGATGGCAAGCCTTTATTCATATTGACCGAGAAAGAAGTACTATTTAAGCGAAGGTTTCGCAACTTAATTTTAAAGCGCATTCTGCATATTTGAGGCCACATGGTACTGTGACTTATTAGCGATTTCATTCTGTGGCGTTGACTGCTTCTAGCCATTAAGCTTGTCTCGCCGGTTTACTACAAACTAGAGCTTTTCCTGCGCGTTGCATTATCCTGTGAGCCGTTAGGCTAATCTGTTACATTTGAGGTTATTTCAACATTACGTATTTAAGTTAAGCCAGAAGTGTTAGCTTATGTAAATGGGTAATTGTTACTTCTTGTGTTTAAGTAAAATGGTCTTACACACACTTCTTCTGACTTTTGTTTCTGTAATCGCAAGACTCGAAGATAATTCTCCTGCAGTCTTTTTAAAGTCTGCAATTTACGCCTCCTAAGAATATCAGACTTTACATACTTAAGAAACATAATTTAGGATTTGCAGTCAAAGATATTCGCCAAAACCCTGTAATGCATTTTATGTCAATACACCAGCTTTTGTGATTTAGATCCACATTATCATTTTTCCTTTCCATAGCAGAAAGCAAAATAGTTAAAAGTATTTGAAAAGAAGGTTTTGAATGCTTTAATTAGAGTTTTTGGCAGCGACGCTCGCAGGTTTACTTCCTGTCGCCCATCTTTGCCAGTTAGTTCTGGATTTAGCCATTTGAACGCGCCATTAAGATTTGAGCTACCTTAATTAGGCCAAATACGCATAAACTTCAAGAACTATTTCTTTTTAAGTTGTAAATTCAATATTATTTTAATACTCTCACGTGAGGAGTTATGATTGTACGTACAAGCTGTGCCTTTTGTTAAATAAAAGCTTAAATGCACCAATTTTATTTAAAATCTTTATCAGTCTTCGTCATACATTTCAGACGAAGCGATTACTGTCTTGGTGCTCTAATAGAGTCTGAATGACTGATAATATTTTTCAAAATAGCAGCCTATAACGTTCGAAATGCCAAGTAATAAAGTAGAATAATTCCTGCAGGTTTCTTTTTAGAGATGCAGATGTTCTTCTCGCCTTGCAGAAATTTGCTTTACTTTACTTCGCTTTCACGAGAGACCTTTATATATTAATACCTAGTTTACCCTAATGAAAAAAAAAATTAATAAGGTTCTTACTTTTAGGAAAAGGAAATGATGCAAAGCGAATTTGATAAATGATTACAAAAGAGTGCAACTCTTATTTGAAAAGGCACTTAAGCTTAACTGGAGGCTTTAAGCGTTAACTACACTGGTGGACAAAATTACGAGATGAAAAACATTTCCTAATATTTCTCCTAAAATATCACACAAAACCTGAACATTTGGTTGCCATATAGAGTCACTGTGGCACTGGTGTCGTTTCGATTACTTACGTATTCCTGTGAGCGTCGCTGCGCCAGAAGGACGTATAAAGATCTGCATAAAGTCCAGCTGCTCAGCTCATTTCGCTCTAGTAATTTAGAGTAGTAATTTTTATTGTCTATCTTGAGCCACCCAGACGGTATAGTGGTTAGAAGAGCCTGACTGCTATACCGAAGCGCCCGAGTTCTAATCCCGGAGAAGGCATGGATGCAAATAGTGTCTGTGTCTCCATAGGAGGCAATGATGATGGCTCACATATTAGGTGGCTATAATAAAGAGAGATATATACTAGGTGCTCCATAATAAAGAGACCACCACATCTGGCCTTAGGAGTGGCCGATGCCTTGGCATAGGCAAGCGCCCGCCATTGGGAAAAAATTACCTTTCTTGAATAATCTATCATTTTTTTTTTGCTGTTTTTCTGTATGAAATGAGGACACATCATCGCTTAGACGAAGCTATGAGATATAGAATCGTGGATAGGCTTGAGGTAGGGCAATTCCAAGCTTAGAGCTTAGGTTGAAAGAGAGCTGGATGTAACACAAATTTGTGGAATCAGATTAAAAACAGCGAAACAGTGTCCAGAAGACTAGGACAAGGTCGCCCGAGACCCAAACGACCAATCATGACCGGTATTTGGTACTTTAAGCCAAGCACCAGAGGACATCTATAACAACACAATTGTCTCGTGACCTCGCCACTACCACAGGAACATCAATTTGAAGGAAGACAGTTGCCAGAAGGCTCCATGTGACAGGACTGTATGCCAAAAAGCCCACTATTTGCATTCCACTCACTCACTCCCACAAAAGAGAGCATTAACAATGGTGCATACAACACCATCACTAGATACAGCTTCAAAGGGCTAATGTTCTTTTCACGGATGAATACAGATTCAGTCTACAGCCTGATCTGAGACCCGATACTATTGGTTGTGAAGGTGTGATTGTCCGGATAGGGATCAGGCAAGATAACCACACACCGCTTCATGTGTTTGATACAGATTCCGTGAATGCCCAAAGGAGATCCTAATGCCCTATATGCAACTTTTCACGAGTTTTGCTGATCCTGAGTTCATTTTTATGGACGACAATGCAATATCACATAAGGCCCACCTGGTTGATGACTATATGAAAAGCGAGGATATTCAACGAAAGAATTGGCTAGCCAAATCTCCTAACCTTAATCCTATTGAACATGCTCGTGATTCTCTTGGGAGGGCTATTGCAATACGCCAACCCCCACCCAGAACCATTCAGGAGTTAAAAACTGCTCTTTAGGAGTAGCGGGTGTGATCTTCCACAGGCACTCCTGAGCTCTGTTGTTAACAGCATGGGTACTCGTTGTGTATGCTGTATGTCTATCAGAAGTAACCACACACCATACTAGCCACATTTTTACTGCCATCTTATAACCTCAAGTTTGGACCACATTGGTCATAACTCATGCTAATGAATTCACTATATTGTTATATAATAAAATACATTCGTACCTAATTTCATTTCTTTCTACTCAGTATTTCTCGAGGTATTTGGGAAAAAATGTTCCATCTCTTAAATTTGTCCACCAATATATATTGAGTATATTATATGAAAAAAACATGAGATTGTCTAATCAGCCAATAGCCTAAATAGTATATTGTCCTATTTCATGTATTCCACAGTAGCCACAGCAGTATATATACTCATTTTAAAACATTGAATTTTATCTAATTTAAGACCGAAATTAATTTAAGAGATTTGCGGCCATCTGAAGGAATTGATTTATCGAGACCTAGTTACTACAGAAAGTGACTTATTCTGTAGTAACTAGGTCTCGATAAATCAATTCCTTCAGATTTGAATTATTTATCGAGACCTAGTTACTGTAGCTGCGTGCTGCACGCTAGTATGCTACGTGTACTTTGGTGGACACCTCCCTGCTGCAATGTGTCCAGTAGCCATTCTATGGCGTGTGCATGTACGCTTCGATATACGTGGTGGGCATTTCGACCATCTTCTTATGAACACATAACCAAAGACCAATATTCATGTTCCCAATAAAGCTTTTCTCTTCCTTAAACAGGATGTGACGTTATACATTTCTTTCACATTTGTCTCGAAAACTATGACTCGTACAGGTGCAGTTCTTTGGACATTTTTTATGTATTCTAAGAGAGGAATTTTGCTGTGCAGAGTGTAAGCGGTCTTGATGGAACATCTTGTTTATTACTACAGAAAACACTTTGGAGCATATTGGGCTGTAAGGTAAAATATCCCTATAAATCAGCAATAAGGAGGGATCATTCCTGAAAATTTACCTTCCTCTTTGTGCAATTCGATGGCAGCTGGTTATTCTAAAGTATCTTCTTAGGATCTTAGGAAATTGGAAATCTCAATGAGATGTTGAATTACTTGTAGAATTTGCATGCATTAATTATTCTATTAACACTTTCGCTGCCAACTACGAGTTGCCTCGTAGGTTGAAGTTTGTGTTTAGGCGGTAGCTCTGGCTTTGGGGATTAGGAAAAAACACAACAATTGGGCGCAATTCAAGAGATTTATTAAAATTAATATAATAAGTAATTATAAAATAAATAACATAGGAACTGTAAAAACAATCAAGCAACTTTAATCTTTGTTACAATAATTGTTGTAAAAATAATCAATCTTTGTTATAAGCAACCGCCAACTACGAATATACTTGTTACGAATAGTTTTTGGTTCTATCATAAACCATTTTATCGCAAAACTCGACTACGATATAACTCGTATAATTAATACAGCAATTAAAATTATGTAAATTCAATATCTTTCCCATAAGCACATGTTTTGTATTTTTGTTTTACAATTAATTAATTAAAATTTGTTGGCTTGGTTGAACTGTTTTTGAAAATTTCATTAGGCAGCGAACTTTTTAATTAAACTATATCTTCAAGCATAACTAAATCTGGTATAAATAGCTAGAAAGGTATAACTAAATTTTTACTGGAAATTATTCTCATTTTTAATCGGTATGTGTATTACTTAATTACTGCTCGATATTTACACCATTTTATGTTATTCTACTAAAAAATGATATCCTTTTTTCTATTTGCAGGACTATGCTACGTCTGAACAAAAATTTTGAAGATATAAAGGAAATGAAAGAGAAAGAACGTTTTATTCTGTATATTTTTGAATTATTAAAAACACCCCCATAAATAACTCGAAGATACCGAAAGAAATAATCAATTTTAATTGATTTTGTTATTTCATGGATGTGAACTTACGGATTGTAGGACAAACTCTGTTTCCTCACAATATTTATACATACAATTTAGCAAGAAGATATGTACAATGATATTTTGCTACTACTGTGGCGTGCGACAAATAATACTGCTTTACTTTTGTGCCAGTTTCTAATGCTTTTTCCTTTATGTACTATTTTGATGTTTCTAAATATAATATTCTGACCTTTATATTTCCATAAATTGGGCCTTCAGTTTTAAAATTTAAATTTTTCGTGCGTTTTGTTAAATTTCTTTTTCCACCACAAAACCTTAAATGCTATGTTTCCATGTCTCATAACAAGTGTATGCTTAAGTCTTTGTTTGTTTTAAATAATGTTGATGTTCATGTTTATTTATTCAAAATGTGTTCAAAAATAAGGTTCCTGTTTATTTCAAAGTCATGTTAATGTTGCTCAATATCATGCTTAATAAACATGTATTAAATTAATCTACGAATAAATTATAAGTATTGTGTCTGATTCTTATTAGTAAACATTTATTTTTATTATTAAACTAACACATTCCGATCTTACATTTCATTGCGAAATTTTTCTCTATTACCTGAAAGGGTAATTGCATTTAACACCTAAACTAAGTATTAAACTTGTAGAGTCATTAGTTTTTTTTTTTTTTTTTTTTTTTTTTTTTTTTCGAAGCAGGAGAGCTGAAAAATGAGCAACGCCTTCGCCGGGACTCGAACCATGAGCCTCTCGAATACGAACCAAACGTGCTGACCACTGCACTACGAAGGCATACTAAGAAGGCTATCTAATCTTTATACCACCCCCCGTTCAATTAAGAACCTTCGGGGACTGGCACAAAGCACCAGAAATTGTCACGCAAAAGATGACATTTTACACACCTGCTGGGCCCGGGGTCCCACATCCCCGAGACACCAACAAATTTATAAGCTCCCTCTGCTGAACGCTCAACGTTCAGTCGACCCACCGCTAAACACGGACCAGTCAAGACCACCGTCTCGGCTGGACAGAGACCACGGTGGGGTGGGTGATGACAACTTGGAGCGATAACTGGCCGTTGATTGAGGCTACCTGCCAGCTCTACACAGGATGGGGAATCGCCAAGTTCATAAATTTTATACCCCCGTGGCCGAGACTGCCTAGGTACAGATCCTAGCCAGTACTTCGCAGAGTACTCTACGTCGACCCCCGGGGGATACTAAGAAGACGGGAAAATACCTTATAAAATTATAAAATGCTAATAACCAAACAGTACAAGAATACTATCTACTTAATAAGCAAAACCTTTAAGAGCTAAACTTACTTTTTATTGCAAAGCTTATTATTTTTATTATTTTATTTTATCAATTAATAATTGTTTATAACATTGAAGATAAATAGAAAGAATTGGAACACTCTCTACTAAAGATACCACCGAAAAACCTTCTTAAAATCGGCACTTCTAAGTATTCATGTAAATTCTAATCATTCATGCACTCTGACTGAATATTGACTCCGAATACCCTGCTAAATACTCATTTCAGTTGACTCAGTATTCTTCTCTTGATATTTCTGCTGTCGTCTGGTCGAATGGTAACACTGCTTAACCATAGTAGTTCGACCTAGGTTCAAATTTAGGCAAACAGGTTATTTTCGTGAAAGTTTTTGTAATTTTTCTATTTTTCTTATGGTCGAGCTACGAGCAAGTCTCCTTTAAAACGACTTCCACAAAATCATCCCTACCCTTGCAGAGACATTAGATATATTTTTTGGAAGCAGGAGAAGGGAAAAATTAGCAACGCCTTCGCCGGGAATCGAACCGCGGACCTCTGGAATACGCGCCCAGCGTGCAAACCACCACACCATGAAAGCATGCCAAGAAGACGAGATAAATACCTTATAATCTTTCTTACCGATTCATTCTATTATCATTTTTCGCTTAGATTTCGACAAAAAAGGGAATTTCCGTAAAGTTTTGACATAATTCTGACTTTCTTAGAATGTTACCAGTGACGGTACTTCCTTAAAATTTTAGCTTTCGCTTACCAAATGATTTTCCTCAAATCTTTCGTCCAACAAAGTCGCCAAATGTAATAAGATTAGTAGAAGTAATAGATTGTAGTAGTAGGTGGACAGGACCTGAATACATGAAGAAACCTTTAGAAATTATCTAATTCTGATTTGGATTTCGAAGAAATTGGCAAAACTGTCATTTCGGTGAAGAAGCCAACGATTGAAATGAAATATTCTATAATTGTACGATCTATTTATTCTAGGATTGTTTGGATGTTAAGATTTCGACCCAATCACTTGAAAAATAAAAATCATCGGAATAATATATCATCCTACAAATAAATATAGTTTTCCTTAAAATGTGCTTATTTGTTCTTTAGCGCCCTCTATCGAGGAAAATGTAACTATTTTTTTTTTTTTTTTTTTTTTTTTTTTTTTTTAAATTTACCAAAAAAAGATCTCTCTTCATGAGAATAACATTTTAGAACCCGCGTTCAATTTTGCCAAATCCTTCAATTTTTATGAATTTTTAAAATATTTGCAGACTTATGGGACACTTTGTACTATATTGCTTATGTTATCAAAGTTATATTATAATGTTTTCAATTGCAATGTATATACTTGATAAAATTAATGTAATTGAATTTATTTAACAAAGAAACATGTCGCAGTGATGTCTAATAAAATTGGGAAGGTGTAAAATCTTTAATACTATTATAAAATATTAAACTAGTTAAGCTGTTGAAAAAAAATTATCTGAAAGGTTTCAGATTTTATATTACGCCCAAAGGGGTGTTTGCTTTTTCATTTACAAAGACAGATACACGTTTCGAGAGTATTTGGGCTAAAAATATTGAAAACAACGTATTTTTAGAATTCCCGATAAGCAGTCACGCGCACTGGAGATAAAAATATTTTATTCCGTGCAGTGTGTTGCCACTGCTCAGTTTGAAATCGTTGAGTTTTTTAATCAAAGATCTTTTAAGGTTTAAAAAATATGAAATAGACAACAAACCAAATTCGAAACTGAAGATTTGGGCTTCCATATTCCCATATTCGGCTAAAGGACAACGTTATTAAAAAATTGATGACTTTAGGTATCGTTGTTCTTTCACAGCGCGAGAAGCATACATACATTAATGCAGATTCTTCATTATTAATTTTTCTTTAAACATAATACTGTCGTTAATATTTGGTAGCAACAATTTGGAAAGTGATACAGCCGTTTATAGTAATTCCACGTAAAATACTGTTTCGAGACCATTAGCCGTTCTGGGATAATGCCCCTTTGGGCTAATAATGGTTTTAAGATTAACATTTTTAAATAAGTGTTGAGCGAAAATTGAAACTTGTGAACTCATAAAATTTTATTGATTGTGAGCAAATCGTGAAAAATTTAGACAATCATTCAGAAGATATTTCTTATCACACATAAAAAAAAGATTCTAAAATTTCAAATTGATTAATTTTTTAATAAATCATTTTTAATTAAAAACATTTTCTGATTAGAAAATTAGATTCTCTTTATAATATACTAAATATATATTTACAATGACACTTTATGTTTACTACATCATGATGAAATTAATCAAAGTCTTCGAATATTCACTAAAAGGAGACTAATATAAATATGTATTCTATTGTTAATTGCATTTAGTTCGACAGCAGGAACTTTTCTTAAATCTTTGAATCTTCTCTGGTATCTCTTTAATCGAATTTAAAAAATTTATCAGTGCAGTTATCTTTCTATTAAAGAATTCCGCTACCTACCTTGATCTGAAATATTAATTATCATTAAGTAGATAATTAAAGATGCTCAATATCTTTCAAATACTCCTGAATTTAATACTTCAATTAAATCTGTTACATTAAATATAAATTAAATATTTTATTCCGTGCAGTGTGTTGCCACTTCTCATTACAGTAAATTCTCTAAAATATATCTTAATCTCACTTTCAATGCAACCAATGTTGCATTCATTCTGGATTCACAGGCGAAAAACAATGCACTTGTTGAATGTGGAGTACTAATTTTAAGGAACTGATAAGGATTGAAGAAATTAAAACTTCAAGCACCAGCTTTAAAACATGCATTTTAGGCGTATACATTTAAGAGGGTAATAGTATCTGCATGTTAAATTAATTAATCCCAGCCTACCAGTACAGATTTTAACGTCTCGTGTTACTATGATTATGCGCGTGGGAAATACGGATAATGCAAAGGAGGTGATACAGAGAAGTTTGGCTGGAGATTTCATAATTTGATCCTTTGCTGGTGTAGTTTGGATATAGCTCATGTTTGATTTAGACGAAATCAATTTTATTTTAACCTTTAATAAATGTATTATAAAATTTATTTTTAAAATAATGTAATTAAGTATACCCAAATTAAAAATTGCTTTCTTAACCTTCATTGAAATTTCATAGCTTTCATGAAACGATGCTACAGGTTTGGCTAAACACATGAATACTAGCTCATTGTGTTGAGAGATTAGGATCTTTTGGAAGCAGATGAAGTGAAAAATTAAAAACGCCTTTGCCGGGAATCGAACAGCGGACCTCTGGAATACCCGTCCAGCGTGCAGACCACCACACTACGAAGGCATGCCAAGAAGGCGGGAGAAATACCTTATATACTCCCCATTTTAAAGGACGACTGGTGTTTTTTAGGGGAACCCAATCGCCAATTCCTATATGGGTAGAATCGTCATCCAACACCCTTTCAGTTCGGACCCCACAATAGAGACATTGGGATTTTTCGGAAGCAGGAGAAGTGAAAAATTAGCAACGCCTTCGCCGCGAATCGAACCGCGGAACTATGTACTACGCGTTCAGCGTGCAGACCACCACACCACAAAGGCATGCCAAGTAGGTGGGAAATATACCTTATAATTGATGTCAGCTTTTGGATTGTAGGACTCAAACTTAATGTATTGTTTGTTTACTAATGGATTTTGCTTCTACTGTTAATTTTCAATATCAGTAAACGCAACATTCTAGCATCAATTAATTGATTTAGAGCTCAGGTCGTCTGATAATGAATCCATGGATCAATCAATTAATGTTTTGGTATTTTATGCTTTTTATTGACTATTTTTCATTGATTAATTTATTAATCATTTATAAAATATTTTTTCCGCCTTCTTGGCATGCCTTCGTGGTTTGGTGGTCTGCACTCTCAGCTCGTAATTAAGAGGTCCATGGTTCGATTTCCGGAGAAAGCGTTGCATATTTTATATCTTGTCTGCTATCCAAAATGGACATCCAACACATGTCTTTACAGTGGCGCCCGAACTAAAAGGGTGTTGGATGATGATTCTCCTCACCCAGGATTTTTCTATTGGGTCCCCTAAAACCCCGGTTGCCCTTTAAAAGGGGTATATATAAGGTATTTCT